GGGGTTGTAGTGGAGATTGGAGTTTCTGGATTTAGGATGGCAAAAGAGTTTGACTGGGGAAGGTAGGAGGTAGAAGAGGGGGAGTTAGATGGAGCTTGGGAGGTAGGAGAAGTGGTAGAATGAGCAATATTACTGGAGTAGGGATTAAGAGAAAAACCTCGTCGACGTGCTTCCTGTCTGGCTTCACGTAGTGTGAGTCCAAGTTTGAATCTGAGAGTTGCTACCTCAGACTCAAATTTGTAGGTGGGGCAGCCCCTATAAAATACATTATGAGGGCCACCACAGTTGGCACATGTGCGTGATTGTGCAGAACAGTTTGATCGAGTATGGCCAGGTTGGGCACATAGTGGGCATATGGCTGTAGAACGGCAATGTTTGGCTGGGTGTCCTAAACGCCAACAATTTTGGCACTGACGAGGAGGAGGTTGGTATGGTCGGACGGGGAGGGATTCTCCACCTATGTAAACATTAATTGGGAGGTCATGTCTACGGAAAGTAATTTTGGCGATGTTGGTGGGTTTCTTACGATGACCTCTGGGAGGAATGGAGTAGCATTGTACTGATGTCGCATCATAGTCTGTGAGACAGGCGAGTAAGTCCTCTCCACAATCTGACCAATCTATGACAAAGATTGGTCAGATTGTGGAGAGGACTTACTCGCCTGTCTCTGGCAGTTTGCTGGGGAGATAGAAACAGTTCTGGTGCAAGTATTGAGGGTTGGATGGGGTTCTGCAAGGATATAGATCAGTTAGTTTTGCTAATGCTATAGCTTGGATTTCGGATGTTACTGTGACGAGACAGGAGCGGTCGGGTCGGCTACGGAAAGAGACTTTGCCTACTTGTTTTTGGAGACATTGCTGGAAGAGAAGGGTGTTGTCAGAGTAGGGAGCTGTGGGAGGGATCACGAAAACTCGGTCCCATTTGGCTGGGCTAAATAGAGTATTTAGGATTGTTGTAGAGATAGGAGCAGTAGAAGGGCGGGGGCGTGTCGAAGAGAGAGTAGTGTTGAGGGAGGTAGTGTTATGGAGAGGTGGGCAATTAGGCTGTAAGGTATTAATAAGGGAGGATGGGGTAGTTGATGTAGAAGGTTGTGGAGGTAGAGGTGTTGAGAATGATGAGAGAGTAGGAATGTCTCTAGGGGTTGAGTGTTGACTACTGGTAGGGGGTAGTTGTTGCAGTGTTCGGAGCCGTGGTCAAAGGAGAGCCTGAGGTCAGGGAATTGGGAGGATTTGAATTGTTGGGGCTATTTGATGAAGGGGCAAGCCTCATTGCCCTTAATAGTGGGGTTAGGTTTTCATTATTGGCCATGGTAA